GGGGGGGGGGGGGTAAGGGAGAATATTTGTAAAAATAATCTTATCGATGTTCGCAGCTACCCTACTCCATGGAACTGGACTACGACGTCGTGGGTGTGCCTGGTGGAAATTCAGGGATGATGGCTCTCCTACCCCCGAGGGTGAACGTATCCGCCAGGGGTGAAGTTCCGGTGACTCTGCAGGTCTTCAGGATAAGGTTGCCCTGCTCGGGTCAGGTCAGTGCAGAAATACCCATGGCGCTGAGGGTTAACGTTACGGCGCCACCAGGTACCAGATACAACGACACGATACTCGTCTTCCGGCGGAATAAAATTTGCCTGAAGGGTAAGTTTACCGATTTTCAATAAAATATACCGTACGAGGTGCATGCATCTATATAGATATACAGTGTGCTCGTTTGAAGATGATTCATCGTTAGATTATCGGTAGACTCGAAGAGGGGTTGTTTCGAGTCCAAAATGAGGGTAGTGTATTAATATAGTGGTGTAGGATGGCTTGCCAAGTTCTTGCTTCGTTTTGAAAACATGGTCGAGGCTCGAACCGCGTGTTTTTTGCATGGAACTGTTTTTGATTTCCTAAACAGATAATCAAAAGGATGGGGGTGTGGAATCCAAGATTTAACCATTGTTTCTACCGAACCGCATTCGCGCCTGTTCACCCCTGATCTCCCCTCGGGGTTTTTCCTACAAATACACCATTTTCCCATCAGCCCCAAATATTTGCACGTATACCGGATGATATCCCTGTAGGATCGGTCTGACGATTAAGGGATGATTTTCATTATCCGTAGCGTGTGTGTGAGAGAGAGAGAGAGAGAGAGAGAGAGAGAGAGTGAGAAAAATTGTAACTCGAAATGCGAAATAGCAGTTTGACGTGAATTGGCATCCGTAGCGTGTGTGTGATTTTCCCATCAGCCCCAAATATTTGCACGTATACCGGATGATATCCCTGTAGGATCGGTCTGACGATTAAGGGATGATTTTCATTATCCGTAGCGTGTGTGTGAGAGAGAGAGAGAGAGAGAGAGAGAGAGAGAGTGAGAAAAATTGTAACTCGAAATGCGAAATAGCAGTTTGACGTGAATTGGCAAGGGCACTGAGTACCGGGAATAGGATGACACCAGGAGAGTCTGTGGATGGGCTCGCTGGGGGATTCTGGGGGATGCTGGGGGATGCTGGGATGCCCGAGGAGGGGTAGGATTTTCACGGTATAGTTTCTCCCGCCCCTTCGCAGTTGACAGACACAAACGTAGTGGAAGCAGACACCGAGCCAGTATCCGGTTACAAGTCGTGACGGAACAACGAAAGGCAATTCGCCGAGGAAAATTGAATTTCTCGGCTGAGATTTAATGAAAAAGGAAAAACCGACTCGACTTCTGCTTCAGTCAAAGATCGAGAGGGTAATGGCCAAAGAGGGATCATTCCTTGGAGGGTGGATAGGAGGGAGAAAGAAAAGTGGATAAGAGAGGAAGAAAAGTGTCGAGACTTTCGATGAAGTACGTCAGAATCACAAGGATGTATACATAGGATGGAAATATTTTTTTAATTTTCAATTTTCCCGACTGTACGGTGCCATAGAAAGTGTTAGGATATTTTAGTATATTTTTATTTTCCAAAAAGACATTTTATTAGTATTTTTGAACTCGGATTTAGTACCGTGGAACAGCCCGTAGCCTCGTAGGACCTATAGGGCAGACAGTATAGAGTTAATTCTAGCGACGTCCCTTAGGGGTCAGGATGAACCGTAAGTGATCGTTTGGTCCAGAGTGAGATAGTCAAAAGTCAGTTCTGGAATTAGGTACTGCGGTTCGGCGCGTCCCGGCGCGTCCCGACGACGGCGGCGTCAGGGGCCGGTCCGTTAATCCCGTCGGACTTAATTTCAGTCCCACGTAAATCTCCGTTAGCGACTGTTTGATTGCGACCGACCGAGTCCCGGGGGCTTAAATCCGCTGCGAAATACTTCACACGAGTACCCTTTTCCATCCAGTAGTATCCGGTATACTAGAAGTAATGGCAAGTAGCAGGTAGTAGTAGCTTCCACCAACACTGCTGTCTTATTTCTCCCAGTTTCACCTTTTCCACGTCCCATCGCTATGAGCTTTAGGGTTCTGGACCCAGCATCCCGGTCCAGCTCGTTCAGGGTATTCCCAGAGATCCATTCGGGAACCCAAACATCCGTGGCTATGGGGGACGGCAGAGAAGCCTGGAAGCGAAAGGACTTCTTTATGGATTTTATTTGCCGTTTGATTCTTCAATATCTCGGAAGAATCCAAGTGGTCCTGTTGTAGCCGGGAAGAAATAAGAGCGCGGGCGAGCGTGGTGGGCGAGGTGGATGCTGGAAATAAAAGCGAGTAGGAGTCTCGGGACTCGAATGGAAGGATCCGCGTAAATAAACAGAAATAACAAGCGACCGGGAGTGGAGTCGCGGCTAAGGGAGGGCAACGATTTATTTAACTTTTTATTTCCTTTTTTTACACGTCTCATCACACCCGAGCAAACTCACCCCCTTGATAACCCCACCCATACACCCTCAAGTGCCAGCCAACCATCCTATCAGTTTGCCATCCCTCTGGAGGACCCTGCCGGATGTAGTCTAGCTATTCCACTACCCCCTCCGATCCCTTCCTCGACGTCCTTCCGGTATTCCTTCGTCACGTCTGTCGCGCTTCGTCCCGGCGTTATTTACTCCGGGAAAAGTAGGAAAAGCAGATGGATGCACCGGATCCAGGATGCTCCGATATCTTTGCCAAAGAGAAAGATTCTTGCCGGAGGAGAATCGTATCTCGCTTTGAAATTTTATCCTTTTTCTTTTTATTTCGTCCCCCTTTCCTCTGCTTTATGGGTCGTCCGGCTTTTGCTTTGGGAACTTGAGTATTCGCAGTTGGTGTACAGTCGGTGCTGGGCTGGATTTCACGGAGAAAAGTTCTACGGCTAAAAGTTCCGCTCGTTAAGCGAGGCCACAAAAGAGACGAGACGAGAGAGAGAGAGAGAGAGAGAGAGAGAGAGAGAGAGGAGGCCAAAAGCTAACCGAGCGTTTCGTGCTTTTTCACGATGGACTTTTTTTCTGCTTTCTTGACCTCCACTTTCTAACTTTCTTTCCCGTTCATACTGCCTCTCTCTCTCTCTCTCTCTCTCTCTCTCTCTCTCTCTCTCTCTCTCTCTCTCTCATCACCCTTATTGCTCTCTTCCACATACCCAGATCCCAGGACTCCTCGCGAATTCCCGCAGCGTGGGGATCGGATTATTCATGGGCTGATTCTAAAAGTAAAATTCAAAAGCCATTGTGAAGTATCTGGCCGGGAGAGAGGATGGATAAACTAATCGTTCCATTCATAAGGGTTGAAATAGCGCAACCCTCCAGCACTATGTATCGTAACAGAATTGAGTGGGGGGTAGATCCTTCAGAAAAATGAAAAGCAGATAAGCTCTTCGCAACGAAAAATAATATCCGTAGACTAATTACGCGATTCGAGAAGAATTCACCATTATTTTCATTAAAGAGGCGACTTTTATCTTCCTTTTCGGATAATGCAATTGGCGGAGGGTGACCCTTTGCATTTTACTTGCACTTTGTACCCGACAGGACATTCTTGGCATGTAATTCCGTTATTGTTACAGGAGTGGAAACACCGCCCAGAAATGATTCCGTGAAGCTGGAAGCTGGTCCCCTTGTGAATGGCGCCGGAGCACTTTACGTGGCAGCCACTTGTGCATGCGCCTTGATATTGGTCGTGGGAAGTGTCGCCAGCGCTTTGTACATTCGTAATAGCAAGGCTCGAGTACAGGAATCGCAGTAAGTCTACAGTTCTATATATATATATATATATTGTAACGTAATTCTTTTCCTTGACCCGGCACCGATAGCAAAATATACGAGAACGAACTATCTTCGAGAAGCAACCTACGTTACCTTCGGCCGTCCACCCGTCGTTCGTGCATCCGCAAGCCAATACGAGAACGACTATCTTCGAGAAGCAACCTACGTTACCTTCGGCCGTCCACCCGTCGTTCGTGCATCCGCAAGCCAGGCGGCCGCCAGCCGATTCTTTTTTCACCGGGAACTGCGAGTTGGGCTGGAACAGGCCCAAATCTACCAAAACGAGAGCTCTGACGGAACCTATCAGAGGAGGCGATAACTGAACGGATCCTGTAGATTTTTGAACCGGAGAGCGTAGCTTCTGAGCAGGGTGGCGACCCGAAGGGAACCAGAAGGCGAGAACGTTGTCTGTAACCGGAGCCGCCTTGGGACCGTGATTCGAAAAATCACGTCACAGTATATGTATACAAGAGACTGAAATAAAAAATATATAGGGGAAAAAAGGGAAAATAATAAGGAGAAAGAAAGAAAAAATTATTGTCTCTCAAGAAAACCTTCTCTTTTTCTACGTCCTGTTCTTGATAGCGATGGGATACAAAGAAAGGAAGTCGAGAAAGTCATGGGGCAGCTAGACCGGATGAAGTAGCAGCCGAGAGAGTTTCTTGGGTGAAATACAGGAGTCTCGGCGGTTTCTTTGTAAATCCGTGGAGGCGGTGAAAATCAATCGGGAAGAGAAGCTATGAAAAGAGAGAGGAGAAAAAAAATATGGGAAAAAGGGGGAATCGTATGGGAAGTAAAGAGTGGTTAGGTGGTAGGTGATGGTAATGTCGATGGGACTATACACGTGTGTGTCACGTTGGAAGGGGACGATGGCCCCGAGGAAAAAGGCAGATTTTTCCGGGACACCCGCGGGAAATTCGTGGGATAAGCGGGATAGGACCTCATCCGAATGAAATATCCTTTCAATAAGCCTGGTGATCTGTCGGTCGCTCAGCGCGGCCCCCGACATTTTATTACTGGCTTCTTCTTTGCTCCAGCGGGAAGGACGCCCCACTCGAGCGTCGGGACGCTGCTGGCTGATAGGCAACGTGGCTTCCCATCTCTCGGTGCTACTCGAGGATTTTTCTCGAGGGGTAATAGTCCTGTAGGATATAAGGATAAGGATAAGAGGGCTGGCTCAGACTGGGTTGGCTCCCCCTACGCTCCTGGGGATCGCGCAATTGTCTCTTCCAGGACATATTAGCTCTTTGAGGCTCTTCGGCCTAATAGCACAAGGCAAACGGAGCCTCCCTTTGCCTTACTTCAAAATCTTTTAGTTCAATCCTGAGAAACGGACATTTTATATCAGGGTGACTAACCGCACCCTCCACCGTCTCTTGGAAACGGGTCGTCCAGGAAGTCACGTGGGCTTAAAGACGTTTACGAGCTTCGTGTCTTTCCACGGGAATCTCGAGGACGTCCGTGAGGGGAAGTTAGTTGAGGTTGACTTCCGGATTTACGTAAACTTCCTGTTTAAAGATTTTGGATTGTTTTTAGAAATTTTGAAATTTCCAAGGGTACCTCTTGCCAGGGTAGAGAAGGTCAGTGGCGGAAGTTGAGTGGACTCAAAATTTTGTATGACTCTTGCAGGAAGACGCTACCCTGCTGCAGCTACTCGGCTGCCGGAACTGGCGGACTCGCCGGAAGTTCCGTTCTCGTGAGAGTGGATCCACGTCCGGGCAGCGCCAACTCCGGAAGTTACGCGACCATCGCCGACCTGGAGCCACTGTACGCCAGACCCTGCGGCTCACGAGCCAGTTATTACGCGGCCAGTCACGTAACGCATCTCAGTCAGGTGGGTCAGAATTACGCGAGGAACTTTAATTTTCCGGCGCTCCGTTGGAAACGCTTTTCGCCAAGAGTCTTTTTCCTGGTGGAAAATACGATTTTCTCAAAGACGCTTCCCGTGCCTTTTGCTCCCTCGCGTCGCCTCCTTCGCCCTCTCCAGGCAGCCCCTATCTTTCACCTTCGTCTCCTCCTTTATTCTCGGTCTGTACGCAACCGGAAGCGGAAGTGGAGCGAGATAAGTCGAATGTCCCCTTTTCTGGTTTGTACATTTGCGCACCGTGCGCTCAAAGTTTATCGAGTTTGTGGTCGAGCGAACTGCTTTCTACTGACAACTTTCTACGGCTCTGGGGTTTCATCCCCTATTTTCTACCTCCGGTACCACCACCCTTGCCAGCATTACCGCCATTCCCACCATTGCCATCAGCACGAATACCAACGTCAATTTCTACCTTACCGACTGTTCCTACTCTGTACGTCACCCGTTCCAACCAGCTACGTCACATGAGTACGCACCTACACACTCGCACATAGCTAAGCCCAAACTAACATAGATACTTTTTTCGGGTGGACCACGTGCTCAGGCGAACAACCCCTGACCAAAGAGGCTTGTAGAGGTACAAGGAGACAAGAAGTGAACGACCCACATTACTCCAGGGATGCACCCCTGCAAAGATCGTCGTTTACTTTTTTCCCTGTAAACCAAAAAAAAAGAAGTTGAGCGATTTAGCGAACAGAATTGCGTCAGGAAGGACCAATTCTGTGTCAGGGTAGGGCCAGCGCATTAAGGAAGAGAATTTATTAATTCTCGAAAAATAGGGACTGTGCCATTCCCAAGGGTGCATGGCCAGAGGGTGAAGGAGGCCGAGGGGAAAATACGCAGGAGGGCAAGGAAGGTGATGCTTTCGATGGGAGGTTACACACGCGGTTACCTCTCTGGTTCAACCCCTAGATCCTCAGACCCGGAACACCGAGGGGCTGGAACAGCCGGAGAACAGGGAGGAGGCCGAGAGGGTCCTGTGATTGTTTCGGCTTTGATCTTGGATCAATTTACCGGGGATACGCGTATCCCTCGAGCCAGGAGCCTCAACCCTCAGTCTTCAGCCCTTAGTTTGGCCCTACTCTCAAAAGCTCCCTCCCCTCCAGGAAAACCATCCCCCGGCCGGGGACCCCTCTCCTCTGCCTATACCTTTGTGCCTCCATGCCTCCGACACCCTAGTCACTGTCTGGTCACCCCTCCACCCCCCTCTCGCCCCCTGTAACACCTCCTGGGTAACCTGGACTACCTTAGAGCCTACAAGACACCAACAACCCTTACAAGGGAATCTTACCCTGTAAAACGATACGCTTGAGATCCATTGTCAAACCCATTACACCCATTGTGAGGGTGTGACACGTGGGGGAGGATACGGTCTTTGTGAATAATCTCGAAAAAATCTTCCAAATTGTTCTTCGAGAATTTAACGAATGGGAGAAATAAATTTTTTTTAACAGTCATTAGATTTTTGACAAACGATAAGGTCGTTTGGGAATTTCGAAGGTTTCAAAATTTCGTTCAAAATCATCCGTGGGTCACCTGCCCTCGCCCTGCGTTTTCACGAGTTACACGGTTACACGAATGGTTACGTTAACAAGAGAGTATGATAATTAGAGGGCTGCTGTGATAAGCCCTGGAGTTAGCAAATTTGCATTTTACCCCATTAACGTAAATAATATTAATTCCCTTTCCGATTCCAATGTCGGACGGTATAAATTGTCCTTTTCGAATTTCAATTAATTCCTCCTCCCGCAATATCTGACCGTAACGGCGTCTGTGATTGCGCTTTAATTCCGTTTTTCATATATTCTTTGGCCTCATCCGTTTTATAGAAAAAATTCAAATTTTCCTTGTTAAGCAGCTTATGGATTCCCGACACAGGTAAACACTCGAATACTCCCGTTCCTAAAAGGGTAAACAAACAAATAAACCCGTATCTCATATTCCGACGAACAAGCTGTTTTCCATGCATTGTACAAACACACAAAAAAAGCAAAAGCAACGCAATTTTCCGCACTACCGTGCCAAATTCTACACAGCCTTATTGTTAGCGGCCGCAAAACGTGCTCGCGCTCTACCATTTACACTCGCGTTTTTCCTTTAATTTCGAGTACGCGTCAGCATGGCAGCAGCAGAGCAGCATCAGGTGCATGCGTGAGTGCGTGAGTGCGTGAGTGCGTGAGTGCGTGAGTGCGTGGCCGCGTACGTGCACAGTGGCGAAAAGCGTAGACGGGGGCGTGTGCGCAAATGGGGTAGCCACGATATAAAGGGTTGTTGCCGGGAGCGAAGGCAAAACTCCGTAAAATTGAAATTAATGAATAGCCCGGACTTCGCACCCCCAGCCTAACCACCTATACGTACAGCGCGCCCCCTCCGTCTATCCCACGAGCCTTGGCTGCCCTTCTTTTTACCTCTCGCCATTCCGACCGAAGCAATGCCAATAGCAGTTCAGCCTCGAACAAAGAGGGACGGACTGTTGGCGCCGCGTGGCAGACTTTACTCACAAAGGGAGAATTTCGTCCTTTGCTGCCCTTTAACCCTTTTACACATCGCTGCTGTCTTTCTTGCGTCTAACCTACCTCGGGGCCCTTTCTCAGATCCCATTTATTTCGACTGACAGTAACGACTCTTGAATTACTTGGGCGTAAGGACGCCCGGCGTCCCTCCGGTGTGTCTGAAAGGCGCCTCGGTATCAATTCTTTGGGTTAAGTCAGGCGCGAGAACAAATTTGCCAGTATATTGGAATACTACTTTTTATTAGACTGCTCCCTTCTCGAGAGCTCTCCCGAAGACGTAATTAATCAGCCCGCGCGACCTCAACCCTTCCCCTTGATTGACTCTAGGCCACAGACCCCTGCGAGAAGGCAAGGGCCCTGGCAGTTTCAAGGTCAGCCCTCTATTGCCGGGACCACATACAGGAGGGGACCTTCGGACGTGTCTACAAGGGTACTTTGGAGCTGGCTGGTCACGAACAGGAAGTCATCATAAAGACAGTCACGGGTGAGTCTTCGTGTTACGAAGTTCAGTTGTACGGATTGTGAAAATGAAAAAAGAAAATAGGCCTTAGTTGGACTGGTAAGCGTGCGAAGCATGAGCATACGGTGAAAGTAATAGAAATTTCTAAAACTGACTGGAGTATCGACGTGCGGTCATACCGCGGGACTTATCCACTTGAGGTAAAACAGGAAGCGCCTAACCGCAGTCGGGTCGAGCATAGCGCGAAGAGGCACGTGGAAGAAAAATGACTAATGGGGGTAAATGGAATTTACAGAGGTGGCCTCGGCGTACCAGGCGTCTTTGCTCGTGGTGGAGGGCTCTCAGCTGGCTGGACTGGTCCACGGGAACGTTGCGTCCCTTGCTGCGGCCTGTCTAGATGGGCCTTGCCCACTCTTGGCCTACACGAGTACTCCCACCGAATTGAATCTGAAGCTCTACCTGACCGACGGAAACCATCATCCTGGTACCAGGGACCTGGTCCACGTGGCTGCTCAGGTCGCCAGAGCTGGGGCCTTTTTGCACGGTCGTGGTTTGCTGCACAGGTGATATGTCATTTCAGTCGGCGATTTTTTGAAAATTTTTATCATGGAATCAAAATAATTTTTCTATCCAGGGACATCGCGACCAGGAACTGTTTAATAGAACCTGCTGGACATCGCGTGAGGTTGGCGGATGCTGCGCTGGCCAGGGATCTGTTCCCACAGGATTACCATTGTCTGGGCGACAATGAGAACCGTCCCATACGCTGGATGGCCCTGGAGAGTCTTCAGATTAATCAATTTAGCACAGCGACAGACGTGGTAAGTTATTAGATATTTTTTAATTTTCAAATTTCACCCTGGACCGTATACCGACTCACGAACAATCTTTTTTTTTCGCAGTGGTCCTTTGGTGTCTTCCTGTGGGAATTGGCTACGCTGGGACAGCAACCTTACCTAGAGGTCGATCCATTCGAGATGACAGCTTGTCTACGAGATGGTTACAGACTCGCTCAACCTAGACCATGTCCCGATGAACTCTTCGCAGTAATGGCGGTCTGCTGGTTGGGCCTTGCCAAAGACAGACCCACCATGCCCCAACTATTGGCCTACCTGCAGGAGTTTCATGACGCTCTTGGTGGTTTTATTTGAAATCCCTTTGCTCCATGACATCCCTAGAATTCCCTAGAATTCCCTACTGAAAGACTGCCTGAGTGGTTCTCGGCAATTTGGGATAGTAACCAATTACATTGATGTATGGGCTTATGCACGAGAGGGTAGAAAAAAGAAAAAGTTCAGAAAGGTGACACGTGTCAGGGTCCAAAAGAACGTTATACGGAAGAAAGTGGCTACAGATGATCGAGATGAGGTATATAATAATAATAATAATAAAAAAAAGAAAAAAAAAGATGCGACGCAGGACGAAGAAAAAGAAAGGGTAAAGGAAAATTGAAGAGTATAAGAAGAAGTAGTAGGGGTGGAGATGCGGAAACGAGCCAGGCTCACCGAACCGGAAGCCAAGAAGAATTGGGACCCCGTGCTCAGAATAACGAAAAGAGTGATACTCGTATATATACGTAAGAATCCCTAGGACGAACTTAAACTTTGAAAGTAAACCGATGTAACCCAAAGGTCACTGCCTAATCAAATCAAACACAAAAGTCTGATAGAAATCAAACGACTTGGAATTGACAACGGCCGCCCTGTTGCACAATTTTCTTCCTTCGAAAATATTCCTGCTCTCTTTTTCATTGAATAAGTGGCTAAGCTACCGGACCCACCAGACAAGCCGGCGCCTACGGAACCGCAACCGTCTGGCCACGCGGCAACGACGTGACAGCTCCATCCAGGAGTGTAAATGTAAATTGATGAAAATTCAATGTAACTTTACATTGGATTTGAACGCTTTTAGAGAAAGTCATGCAAACGGGCGGTCGGATTCTGGAGATATACAGAAATTATATAAATTCCACTTTCCACATTCTTGTAACTCTAAGCCGACTGTCATTCTTCAATATTCTCGACTTATTCAAAAAATTCAAACACTCGGTTGCATCCTGCACTTTGGACTCTGCATTCTGCATATGCACTCTACTATGTGCTCTGTACAGTGAAAGTCTGATTCTTCCTACAGGTCCCTTCAAGGAATGAGCTCATTTTTAAATGTACTCGATGTTTAAATGTCGCATGTTCCCTTCTAACGAGACCCTTTCTCTCTCCCCCTTTCCGCCCTCTCTCTCTCTCTCTCTGAGTCATTTTATCTAATCAAATCACCAATTAATTACGTTCGAATTAATATAAAAAAAAAAAATTATCCCGTCCTATGTTAATTTCCTATTTTCTATACATATATACTTTCTCTAAGTCTTTCTCTGACTCACCTCTTCCATCCATCCAACCATCGTTGTAGATCCGGCCGAAAAACCCTGAGCAGAATTACAATTAACAGTACCTAGTATGAAAGGCCATCTAAATATTACCTACTATTACGACACTACTACTACTGCTATTACGACTACTACTATTACTACTACTCGTACTATTACTGTACTACTAATCTAAAGCTACGACTACTATTTACTATAACGTATTAATTAATTTATTTATATCGAATCTAACGTATCTACTATATTCCTGAATGTTTTATGGAGGAACAGGGTAGACTAGTGCTACACACTTTTTTCGCTGTCGCTATTACAACATCTATCCAATGACAATGATATCACCATCCAAGTACGAATCCTGAGCAAGAATACCAGCAGGAGAATTAATAATTCTAAGAGGCGATAGATGGCCGAGATTAATAATTCATATTTCAATGAAGCCTAACCTAGCCTAACCTAACCTAAAGATAGTTCCCATCCTGTGATCGATCATTAAACGTTTCTCCTATCCCCCAAAGAAATTCCTTATCTCATTGTAAATACGTATAGCGAATAACAGTGGTGATGGCCGAGCGAGTTGATTTGTGCAGATTCTATTATTTCCTATAACGATATGTAACGGCATTATTTTTCAATGGAGAATAAAGTATACGTGTTGAAAAGAAGACGCGTCCAATACGTCCGACCAGCCCGTAAAATTCTCGTAATACAAACGACTATCGATTTCATTGCCCCAGACGGACTCTGCCTACGAGCATTAGAATTTTTATCGTGGGAAAGTTGGCACAACAGCCAAAAAGGGGAGCCTACTTTTTTGAACTGACTGTACCGAAACGGCACTGGCCCCGGATCGACGTCGACAATTCTTAATTCCGATAGGATCTCGCGAATGTCGCGTCGAGCGGGGGCCCTATTTGGCGCCCAGAACGTGTAACGTTTACGTTGGGCCGAGGGGAGGTCGAACCTCTCAACCCGGCTGAGTAAGTAGATAGGCAGAGATAGGTATATTGGATAGAGAGTGAGGAAGGCCGGTGGGAGTAGGTGGGGGGAGGGATAAGAGGGGGGGGCACTGTAAAGCCCTTTCTAAAATCGCTAGAATGCCCGGCGTGGTAGGAGGTACGCACTATTTCCCAATCTAACAGCCAGGAGAACCAAGAGGCGAGAACGGAGAACCGGCGAACCAGCCGACCAACGAAAACGAAAGTGACGGAGAAAGTTGAGCATTGTTACGAAGCGTTAAACTCGGCGTGGCGAGGTGAAGAAGGGGAGGCGTCTCTCGGGAGGCCCAAACGTGGCTGCCAAAGGGGGCCCAGAGACCTCCGACACCGGTTCAAAACGTTGCGTACTCGCCTTATTCTTTTTTTTTCCACGTCTTCTTTATATCCTGTCTCATAGGTACGGGGGTTCATGTAACACGTATGACTTTCTACGCGTGAGGAGTATTATTATTATTGTGTAAATGGGTGACTCGATACCCGGGACAGATGTGCCGGAGACCTTGACTCCGGGGATCGTTGTTATTATTATCGAGGAACCAGCAACGGCCCAACCGAGTTTCCTATCTCTTAATGGAATAGAAGGCGAAACGCCATTTCTATTTCAAGCCGGTTCGCAATCGCGACGACGACTGGCTCGATGCTCTTTGGACGTAACGCTACAATATGGGGAAGCTTTTTTATCGAGCGGGACCTTGAACGCCTCTCGATTTTTCGTAATACTCTAGTCACCGTCCGGGGTGGCGCGAGCGGGGGCCTGAATAGCACCAGATGGACGGGCCCCTCCGCTGGACGGAATAATGTTTCCTTTTTTTCTTTCCTTCTCTCTGACAATTGAGATAGATATGTATATACATCTACAGGTATTCCCGGGATCAGACCAAGGGACCTTGACTTCTGTAGATCCACGAGAGTTCGTTTCTATGTAGCGAAATCGATCCGGCAGGTGACTCGTTGTTGCCGCGTACTGGTTACCTACGAGCGTTACTTGGCAACTCTTATAACAATTGGGCCCGAATAAGCCTGACAATGGGCCTCGCTGTGCACTCACTTGCCGATACCCGTGCCGATACTTTCTTCAAGATTACCTTATGCGATTCCATCGAAACGTCACTTCGATTCCCACGATTCATTATTATTAATGATTATTCGCGGAATTCCGTCACGCGTTCGCCAGTCCTCGAGATTCGTGAGCTCCTGAACTCGGCCGAGCGGATTCTCAATGGACGAAAGTGGCGACTTACGTAACACGGACATCCGGAGATAGTGGATGTGCCAAGAAGAGGTAGGGTCTAAGGTAAGATGAAAAAAAAAAACAAGTAATAAAAAAAATCCTTTCGTAAGAGCACAAAAAAAAAAGTTGTCAAAAATACACGCAATCGCGAGGACGAGCGAGTGAAATTGTTGACTATGAAAAATTCGCGTGGATTTATTTTCGTGGGAGCCCAAAGGCGATTCTAAGAATAAACGACGAGAAAAATCTCGGCGTTCCCGATCGGGCATTAAGCGTGCCTATTATCGTTCCGTTGCGCCGACTATGAGGTAATAGAGAGACGAATAGACGGCGGGTGGGGGGGTGGGCGAGAGAGG